TAAAGATGAGGCACCTGAGGCAGACAGGTCAGGTAACTTGCCCAAGGCCATCGTGGTAAGAGGAGGAGCCGGGCCTTGAATGTGGTTTGGGTGGGAAGTGTGTGGCCAGCTGGAGAGCTTCCTCCCCCTCTACAGGCTCCCCTGCCCCTTCTGATAGTGCCTCTCCTGGCTCCGCTCTGGAGAATGCCCCCTGCAGGTGAGAGCAGTGACTCCTCCCCTCCCTGCCCTGCCCCTGCCCCTGCCCCTGCCCCTGCCGTGCTCCCACAGAGCCTCTGAATCACCACCTCCCTCAGTCCTCCACCCCTGGGCTGGGGAGAGGGGGCTCTGGGTCTGGTTCCTGAGAAGTGAGACTCCAGGAAGTGAACTGAGGTGAGGCCGGGCGGGGGCACCTTTGAGCGGACTTTTCCCCAAAGGAACAATTACTGTCAATCCACCCTCCTCGCTGCCCTGGAGGAATCTACTCAACTTCCGGAGTTAAAGGGTAATGTCCCAGCACCATCGGGCTCCGCGGCATCTGGTGCTGACCCGCACGTTCTCCCTGCCCCCGGCCCTGACGCCAGGACACTGCAGGGGCCTCCTAACCGTCTCTCAGCCTCTGGCCTATCCACACAGCTTCTCATTCATCTTCCTTAAAGCACGGGGACCGGGATGTTTCCCGAGGGCCTCCAACTGGCCAGGCTGGGCAGGCGGAGAGAGCTCTCGGCTCATTAGGCCCATCACCTAATTTCTAACATCCTCTGCGGAGTTTCTTCCTTAGGCCCCCGGCTTGGCTTCTGACTTAGGTGGCGGGAGACCCTCAGTAGCTTTCGGGAGGCCCCAAAGAAGAACTAGCTGAGGCAGAGCAACCTGCCCAAAGTCCTGTGGGCATGGAGGCATAATTAACTAGGCACTGTGGTTCCACAGCCGCAAACCTGTTGGCCAGGCCCCAGCCCCACCCGTCCTCTCCCCAGCCTAGCCCTCCTGCTCGGTCTCAGCCCCTCCACCTTGCCCATCAGCCCAGCCCAGCCCTCCAGCTGCCCTGCCTGATTTTCCATGAGCTTCTACAGAAAGCACCTGAGAGGGCACTAGAGGGGAGAGGAGGATGGGTTAGTACGTTTCGGCTGACTCACCCACTTCTACCGGCATTAGGGTCTGGCGCCCAGTGGGGATGGGGTGGGGTGAGGCAGAAAACCCAAGGCCTCTTGAGAATGCACCAAAGCTGATGGGGTGAGGCCTAGGAGGGGCTGCCTCTCAAGGCTGGGCCACAACCCTGAACACCTGGGCTCCCAACCCCCCAGTCTCAGCCCAGTGCCGCTGGTGGCCCTGCCCTCAGGAATGGCAGAATCCTTCAAGGGGAGGGGCTGTGATCTCCAGGAGAGAAACCCGTTTGATTCTCTTAACTTTGCCAAGGCTCAGGCTGGGTGGGGGCTGGTTCTCACAGGGGGTCTGGACCTCCTCTGACACTTCTCTTCACCCTTCCCTCAGCATCTTCCCTGAGGCAGCGAGCAAAGCAGGACGTGCTAAGTGCTTTAATTTTTCTAGCTGCAGTGCAGGGAGGGCCCCACATGGTGCTGAGAATGCCCCACACTAGGGTAGGGGATGCCAGGATAGGCAGCTGGAGAGAGCAGGGGTGCTGGGCGCTGGTTCTGGGGATGGGTTGGAGCCAGGTGACCACAGATTCCACAGGGCAGAACTGAAGCTGGACGGAGGTCAGATTGAGGCCAAGGACCTTCTGAGTTGGGAGTTAATGGAAAGGCCCAGGGACCTTAGTTCTTGTGGGGCTGGGCCTCTGAGGGCCTCTGTCCACCTGAAACTGAGGGGAGGGAGGGAGGGAATGAATCCAGTGAGTCTTCCCTGTCCCCGTCCCTCCCGCCCCCCCCCAACTCTCCTTTACCCCATGGAACCCAGGGGACCTGCTGTATGTCCTCCTTCCTTTGACCCACCAACTGAGGGCAGGGCGAGGAGCACGGGGACTCAGGCACCAGGTTCCTGACCATTGTTTACATAACCTGAAGGATGAGCCCTATCAGGGCCTTTGGTGTGTTGTCTCCCAAGGAGACATTAATGGGTAATTAATTAGTCCTGTGGTTCCTCCTCTCCCGTGACTCACTGAAACTGATGCAGCAGTTTAATCAACTGTGCAGCCGCTTCCTTTGTGATGCAGCAGTTTAATCAACTGTGCAGCCGCTTCCTTTGCCCCACGGACAGCACCTCAGCCTGCCTCTCGACATCCCTTCATTCATCAACGTCAAGGGGCGTCTACTGTGTGGTCCGACACTGTGCTAAGCACTGGGTGGGGAGGCAGC